TCGATGACAGCTAGATTGTGGGATCAAAATGGATATCTAGAGGTAAGGGAATGATAGGTGATTTATACCGTTATTCAAATATAATTAATTATAAATTAATATTTTTAGTGGGACTTTGGAACTCTTCAACGTAACAGCAACAACCCTACTGCATGTAATGCACCCGGCCTTCCCGCGTTTCAAATTAATCTTCGGGTTGCGGAAGTTTTTTGGGATCTATTAATTCCATTTCCAGCTGGGTATACACCAGCAGCTCCTCCTGCGATTACTGCTACAAATTTTAGTATTGATCTTTACCAAATTCAAAGATCAGTTTTAAGACAACAAGGAAATTGATTTTGTGTCCTTTAACTCTGATAATTTTCACTATTCTCTAACCTAGTTAAACTTTTATTGTTCTTTAACACGACCAGACTTTTATTGTGCTTCAACTTAATCAATTTCTCGTTTTCAAACTCAATCAATTTAATATCATCATTACGATCCTCGTTTTTTACTGTTCGTAAAAGAATAGTTAACATCGCGATCCACAATCTTATAAATAAATATCTAAGGAATTAGTTGTCCCAGCCAAAAATTCACACATTATTTGTCAAAAATTATCATTTTCGAGGTCATAGCAATTAAGGAATCATAATTGAATTTCCGGATTATTAGTGGCTTCTTGAAATTCATCGATTGATATAGTAAAGGGACAGCGACCATAAATAGCAAGAACGTGATTTTGCATATAAGGATGTTCTAACCGAAACCATAAGGGATCCTCAAAGATTAGTATCTTCTGTATCTTCAAGGTATGATAAAATCACGTATATAACCAGAGACATCTTCCAAAAAATTGATTTCAGTTTACAATGCTCTGTGTTTCGAGGCACGATAGATTTGGCGAGTTTGATAGGTAAGTGATATGATATTAAGAATAAATGGGAAGGGAGGCCAATAGTGGGTTTTCAAAACAATAACCACCATTATCTTATCCTTTTCCCCTTATGTAGTTTTTGCAAGAGAAAGGTGACACAATTTGGATTTATGGTTATAACTATAGACAGGTTTGGATCCTATTAGTAGACTTAAATCTTAATTCTATTTATTAGGGAAGCAGCATATCATCTCCATAAATCACATATAGAGGCTTTGACTATTAACAGATAAACTGGATTAAGAAGGTTTATACTTTGCATATATTCTTATATTTGCGATGATTTTTTATAGTTAAATAAATTAAACATTTTTACCCTGATTACAGGTTAAAAATAATTATTATTATTGTTATCATTTACTTATTTATTTAATCTTATTTGTAATTATTACAACTTTATTTCTCAAAACTTTAAATAGAAAATATAGCTGCTTAGTAGCATTTAATTATTATAGACAAACTAGTATCTAAGTCATTGCAATTATACATAAAAAGTATATATATATTTTTTAATATGTATACTTTGCAATATATTGTATGAATAAATAAAGAAATTGTGTTTACAGATTTTTTTAAAAAAACAACAATTGGTTAACAAATAGTCAAAGTTATTAGCATTTACAATATTTAATAAAAAATATCAATCTATTTTATTTATCAATTAATGAGGATCAATATTAAAAATTAGCAAAAATTAACTGTCATTCAAAATATTTATTTGTTCAATATAAAATCATTTAACATATATTTATTTAAAAAAATATATTTGACTAAACATCTAAATATCGGAAATAATATAATTTTATAATTATAGTTATGTGAATGCACAAATAAAACAAAGCAAAAGATATTTACAGTATCTATAAAAGCGAAAGGACAATGTATTAAATAAAAACTGTTGATGAAATAATAAAAATTACTATTAAAATTTAATAATAATAATAATATTTATTTCATTTTTCATAAATGTGAAAGTATGGATTTTATAGTTTTTGTTTGATTGTTGCAATATATTCCGATTTATTTTATTATAGCATTTATCAATGCAATGCTTTACTTCTATTGAATATAATGAATGTGTAACTGAAAAGAAAAAATCTATACAAAGACTAAAAATTTTGTAACCCATTTTGATAAATATTGTACATTCGGCTTTTAGAATTGGAAATTAAAAACAAGAAAAATATCTATTACCTTTTATTTACAATATTTCAACAAATCCAAAAATTTTTGGCAAATCACATGCTTTTTTTCTAACTTATCAATATCGTTGTTGTTATAGGCGTTATCAACAACCATCTCTTTGGCTTTATTAAGTAATCTGGAACTTACTAAGCTACACGTATCCAAATTTATTTGCCTCACAGTAACTTTATCGGTTCCTTCCAAACATCTAATTATGACTTGTAAATGTTGGTTTCCGAAATCACGAGAATCAGCGATCTCCAACGTTTCTAATTTCTCCAATAATTTGCTATTCCTCAAAAACGTCTCAAACGAGAATGGTGAAAAGGACCACATCATTCCTTTCAATCTTAGTTTTTTTAAATTTTGCAAAGTTTCCAAATTTGCCTCACTGAGATTTAGGAACAAACGACTCGTTTCATCATCTGATTTTTGTGTCGCTCCAACTAAGTCTAAGGTTGTCAAGTCGAAGCATGAAGAGAGTAATGAGTAAAGTTGTAATATCTCGTTGGGGTAAATTGAAGCTTTGAAGTGCATCAAGTTTGGAAATAATGTTGAAATCAAATTAATGAGTTTGTGAGGCGGGAGTTCTTGTGAATCGAAATGATACTTAATATTTCGTTTCCCCAGGTTCAAAGACTTGAGAGCACTCGGGCACATTAATAACAAATTCTCCAACATTTCATCCGAAGCAAATGTTCCATTCAGATCGAGCTCTGTGAGGCACGGGAATTCAGGATTGGTTGAACGAAATGTTGATCCGTCAGATTGAAATGTGCATAATTGAAACGAGAGTTTCTGTAACTTTTTCAGCGGTTTTATACCAATCAAAACTTTATGGTTCAAATTTTTCATATTCACAAAGCTCAAAGAGCTTAAAGAATCAATTTGAGACTTCAGTGCAGACATTACAACGGGCAGTCCTTCGGAACACATGTGTAATCCAAAATGTGACAAGGCCTTTTGTGATTGAATGAGTGTCGCTAAACTCGCAGCTTCTTCTTCGACTTTTGGTTTCTCATAATTTCTTTCCAGGTCACCATCCAAAAAATGTTGTCGATAAGCAATCGTGGCTACCAAATATTTTATGTTAGGCGCGAATTTCGTCAACGAGAGTAGCAAACTGGTTTTCCGACGTCTTGTCACACATACTACTTCACTCAGCTGCTTTAGGCAAGGACCGTCACCCGAGTATGAATGCAATGTTTCATATATTTCTGTGGGGAGATGGCGATATTCGAGTCGGGGAGCCCGCTCTTTTTTCAACTCAGAACAAAAGTATTCTTTTGGTCCTCGCGTGTAAATGCGCCGTAAGTCAATTGAAATTCGTTCGAGCTTTGGGCATCGAGTCATAAAAGTTTTTAAAATCATGTACACCATCAAGTCTCGATTCGAGTAATTCGGGTGAACCAAGAAACCCGTGTAATAATGTTCAGTGTACTTCGGCCTGATCTCTTTGTCAAGGGAGGTGTTCAAAATTTTCATGAATTCCACGTAATCCAATGTTACATCTCGATCATCTTTACAATGTCCTTCATAAAAGTAA